GATTCGGATCTGTCTCAAGTTCATCCTCTGCCCCAAGTCCCACTCCTCACCAATGGTCAAATGGTACTTACTACTTTGTCCATTCTTTGTTTACTTGCTTCACAGCTTCCCTCTTTTCTTTAGCACCTTGATAATTGACATTTCTCTAAGAAATCAGTGAGTGAAAATGGAATTATGGGTATAGGTTGATGATATTCCTCCGGAGCACCATGCTTTGGTGCCGGCCTACATGGGAGCTGGAGGCGGCGGCGGCAGCAAAAGGATCCACCCACTTCCTTTCACTGATTCTGGTCTTCCGGGTACTTTGATTTTCCTTTTCGTTGTTCCTTTACTTTTGCTTTTTAGATTTGAGTGATTTATTTCCTGAGAATCTGAGTCTGCTGAACTTAGAATTGCGAGTACATAACTGATGGTTGTTTTGTGAACTCTTTTCTGTAGTGCAACCTCGATCCATGGATCCTTCAAAGGACTTGGCTGCTTATGGATACGGAAGCGTTGCTTGGAAGGAGAGGATGGAGAGTTGGAAACAAAGACAAGAGAAACTACAGATGATGAAGAACGAGAAAGGTGGCAAGGATTGGGACGATGATGGGGACAACCCGGATCTACCACTGTAAGTTCTGTTCTCTTGTCAAATTTGATGAGTTGCATTGCTAAATCAGTCTTCGCTATTCTCAAGAAGATTATATGCCAAATCCTATTGGAGAAGTCAATTATGCATGGTTTAGTTCTTGCATAGTTTCCGTGTATGTTGAGATTAGGAATCAGGGGTTTCTAATGCTATGGGTTTTTCATCTGCAACGTGAATCAGAATGGATGAGGCGAGACAGCCACTGTCAAGAAAGTTGCCCATACCCTCCAGCCGAATCAATCCCTACAGAATGATCATCGTCATCCGGCTTGTAGTGCTTGGATTCTTTTTCCATTACAGAGTTACGCATCCTGTATATGATGCATTCGCATTGTGGCTCATATCTGTTATCTGTGAGATCTGGTTTGCCCTCTCATGGATTCTGGATCAATTCCCCAAATGGCTCCCTATTGACCGGGAGACATACCTCGACAGACTGTCCCTGAGGTAATAGATTCTGCCTGCCGTTTCATGCTATTTGCCTGATCTTAATGTGGATTCGTAAAATTATCATTCTGGCATTGTTCTTTAGGTATGAGAAGGAAGGCCAACCTTCTCAACTTGCTCCAATAGATATATTTGTGAGTACTGTCGACCCGCTGAAGGAACCCCCCCTGGTGACGGCAAATACTGTCTTATCAATTCTCGCTGTGGATTACCCTGTTGATAAGGTGTCCTGTTATGTTTCTGATGATGGTGCTGCGATGCTGACATTCGAAGCACTCTCAGAAACATCAGAATTTGCAAGGAAATGGGTCCCTTTCTGTAAGAAATTCAACATTGAGCCACGGGCACCTGAGTTTTATTTTGCTCAGAAGATAGATTATCTCAAAGATAAGGTTCTGGCATCTTTTGTGAAGGAGCGAAGAGCAATGAAGGTAATAGAAGTGCCAAATTTAATTTATCAATTGCTCTTTGGAGATAATAGCCAAATTCTTAGTTGCGTTCTTGCTGACTTTGCAGAGAGAGTATGAGGAGTTTAAGGTTCGTATAAATGCTTTGGTGGCCAAAGCCCAAAAGGTTCCTGAAGAAGGGTGGACAATGCAGGATGGAACACCATGGCCTGGAAATAATGTCCGTGATCATCCTGGCATGATTCAGGTATGCAAAGATGCCATTGTCAGTTGTAGGACTCCTTGTTGATGTGAGATGAGATTAACTGCTAATTTCTGCTATCTTTAATAGGTTTTTCTTGGCCAAAGTGGGGGACATGACACCGACGGGAATGAATTACCTCGCCTTGTCTATGTTTCCAGAGAGAAGAGGCCTGGCTTTAATCACCACAAAAAGGCAGGAGCTATGAATGCTTTGGTAAGTGTCATAAGAAGTCACCTTAGTTGGTAAAAACCCTTTTTTGCTCTCTCCATTGACCTTTCTGTGAACTTTTATTTGTTGAACAGGTCAGAGTTTCTGCTGTGCTGACAAATGCGCCTTATCTTTTGAATCTGGATTGTGATCACTACTTCAATAATAGTAAGGCTATCAGGGAGTCAATGTGCTTCATGATGGACCCACTTCTTGGAAAAAGGGTGTGCTATGTCCAGTTCCCTCAAAGATTCGATGGTATTGATAGGCACGATCGATATGCCAATCGGAACACTGTGTTTTTCGATGTAAGCATGCAATTATCAGCCATTGAATTGCCTCATGCCCATTGCACCTACCCTATCATTATTTCTGTGCAAAAAGATCTGACGGAGAAATTTCTCTCTTTCAGATTAACATGAAAGGTCTGGATGGCATTCAAGGTCCTATTTATGTCGGGACTGGTTGTGTATTCAGAAGGCTGGCGCTCTATGGTTATGATGCTCCAAAAGCAAAGAAGCCACCGACCAGAACTTGCAACTGCTTGCCAAAGTGGTGCTGCTGTGGATGCTGTTGCTCCGGGAAGAAGAAGAAGAAGAAGACTACCAAGCCTAAGACCGAACTGAAGAAGAAATATTCTAAAAAAGGAGATGCAGGTGCTCCACCGCCTTTGGAAGGTATCGAAGAGGGCATTGAAGGTGAGATTCTACTTTTGCATGAGGTCCCACTTAATTGTCTACTGCAGGTTTTACTTTTTCTCTCATTAAATGTGCCTCTCAATTTTTGCATCAATCGGCGGGAATATTTTATTCTTCCGAAAGCTTGTTTTCTATGGGGTTGCTTCCTAGTTAACATCTGTTCCAATTTGGACTTAGCCAATTTTGCTTCCTAAGTCGCATTTAAGACTAGTTCTTTTCCTTTGTCATCTAAACATTCATGCTTTCTTATGCAGGAATTGAAGCTGAAAATCTAATGCCTCAGCATAAGCTTGAAAAGAAGTTTGGGCAATCCCCAGTCTTCATCGCATCGACATTGCTGGAGGATGGAGGAGCACTGAAAGGCGCGAGCCCTGCATCTCTGCTAAAAGAAGCTATCCATGTCATCAGCTGCGGCTACGAAGATAAAACTGAGTGGGGAAAAGACGTAAGTGTAGTGTAAATGCTCTCTTCATGCAATTCCCTGAAACAATTATTGTTTCTCTCGGAGTCGGCTAAACTTTCTTCAAATACAGGTTGGATGGATATATGGTTCGGTTACAGAAGATATATTGACGGGCTTTAAAATGCACTGCCACGGATGGCGATCCATCTACTGCATCCCCGCGAGGCCCGCTTTTAAAGGAAGTGCTCCCATCAATCTTTCCGACCGTCTCCACCAGGTCCTTCGTTGGGCTCTTGGTTCCATTGAGATCTTCTTAAGCAGGCACTGTCCCCTTTGGTATGGTTATGGAGGTGGTTTGAAATGGTTAGAGCGATTATCTTACATAAACGCCACAGTATACCCCTGGACATCAATCCCTCTGTTGGCATACTGTACTTTGCCTGCTGTGTGCTTGCTTACTGGGAAATTCATCACACCAGAGGTAGGCTATCGGATTTTTTTTTTTTCAATTATTGCTTTTATATCCTATAATTGACGATGTTCCAGGCAAAAGATCTTATATTTGTCTTTGTTTATTGTTCCTGTTGCAGCTGAACAATGTGGCTAGTCTGTGGTTTCTGTCGCTTTTCATTTGCATTTTCGCCACAAGTATCCTGGAAATGCGATGGAGTGGGGTCGGAATAGACGAATGGTGGAGGAACGAACAGTTCTGGGTCATCGGAGGAGTTTCGGCACATCTATTTGCAGTTTTTCAGGGGCTTTTGAAGGTTCTGGCTGGTGTTGACACGAACTTCACTGTGACATCAAAGGCCGGGGATGACGATGATTTCTCTGAACTTTATGCGTTCAAATGGACCACCTTGCTCATTCCACCGACTACATTGCTTATAATAAACCTGATTGGTGTTGTAGCCGGTGTATCAAACGCAATAAACAACGGTTACGAGTCCTGGGGTCCTCTGTTTGGGAAGCTATTCTTTGCCTTCTGGGTGATTGTTCACCTGTATCCTTTCCTAAAGGGTCTGCTTGGACGGCAAAACAGGACTCCTACAATCATCATCGTGTGGTCAATCTTGCTTGCTTCGATCTTCTCCCTTCTGTGGGTACGTATCGATCCATTCTTGGCCAAGTCGAAAGGACCGGTTTTGGAAGAATGTGGGTTGGACTGTAATTAGCAGAGTGTCTGATTCCTGGAACATTTGGTCAGTAGGATTTGTTTATGGGTTATTTATCGTGAGGATACAGAAAGAATACATTTGGTGTGGTGCCGTCTGCAATGCAAATAAAGGGCATGTTTGGACGTCAATGTCTCCGCAACTCCGCCTCTCCATTCGACCGTGAAACTCCGAAGGGCTACCAAAACCAACTTTGCTGCTCTTTGGCAACAGCTGGGAGATTGTCGGAAAGGACTGTGACACTGCTTCTTGATTCTTTATTTGGTTCATAATTTTTTGTTTTCTAGGAAGAGGAGGTGGTGTGAACCACAGTATAATGTGTATTATCATCTCATAATCTCTCTCTCTCTCTCTCTCTCGTGTAAGTGTAACTTAGCCGAAAATGTGAAGATGTATTGTATACGGGGCATTGGCCCTCGGTGCTGCGTAGTGTGGCTATGCGTGGGTTTTTGCTGTTGAAATATCAAAGGGAAAATTTCAATTTTCCTTTGCCACAGAAGGTGTCGCAACGGTTTCGATCGCTTTCATATTTAAGTGACCTGACTGAACATCTTATTACTACAAATGCATTGCAAACCATGCCATTTTTTAGGTTCTCCTCGAGAACAATAGAGCTTCTGTAAAAGTTGGATGCGGGAAGTTTTCAATACAAGTCATCTCTGGACAGAAAGTTCGACTTGGAGATTCATCTTGGCATCTGGTGAGCTGGTGAGATGGAACTGCACGATGATGAGATGCAGGTGACCAAAATGTTCCAATTCTTCAGCGACAGTAAGAAAAACAGGAGAGGAGCAAAACAAAAAAATAACTTAAATAAAAGAAAATCTCAAGAAAGCTCTGGCTATTTTCCACACCATCCACAATCCCCTTTTTGTATTGGGTTGGACATTATTCTGTATGAGAATAGACATGTATTTGATCTTTCACTCAACAAATATACAAAAAATTACTCCTCCCATTGCCTTGGAGAAGCTGAATTCTCACATCCTCTACCATAAATGAAGTCGCTGAAATCTTCAAAGCCCATACCAAATTTGCTACCAGTCAAAGACCGAAGAATGCCGCACTTGTCATTTCTAGGCACTGAGGTTTGAAAGCGTCTAGCCAAAGGCAAGATGAACCGTCCAGGCTAATTCCCTTAAAATACACATGACCAGAGTTTTTGAAGCCTGTCATGCCAAAAAAGGTCAGTCATCTCCAAATGCACTATGTCGTCATGAGGCTGGGGTAAGATGAACAGATGCAGCTAATTCTGCTAATTTTGCTAATTGCTAATTGTGGTTGATTGCAAAAATCTTCCTCCTTCAAATCATATACCGCTCGGAGCTTTTGGGCTTCGAATTTTGCAGCTTCGGCTTCAGCAAGTAAAATGTCTGCTTCTTCATGGTCACCCAATTCCAGAGCAGCAGCTCTTTCAGCACTAGCAGCACTAGCAGTTATGAGTAACCTCTGGAATCTAGCCACCGCCAAATCCCTCTCCCTTAATAAGATCTGTTCCTCAGCCTCCTGCAATTTATCAACAGTTTCTTTAATTTCTTCTTCAAGCTTTGCCAGATCCATGGTGGCTCTTTCAAGCTCCATTTGTGTTCCTTCCTTCTCAGTGCTCAACGACTTTGCTTCAGCAGCTATTCGTGCAGCTTCTTTGAAATTTCTTGCAGCAGCAGCAACCTTTTTCTCGGTCTCTAGTTCTGGAAGTCTCTTGTCCACATAAAGTATCCTCTGCTCGAATGAAGCTATCTCCTGCTGGAGGCCGGACTTATTTGAAGACAGTTCCTATAATCAAAAGACAAGAATCTAATTAAATGATGAGCCAGAAAGGCAAATAGATTTCGAGTATTCAGGTTTTGATTTTTTTTTGCTGAAGCTATAACTGAAGAACATGCTCAATACAATAACATGACCACTTAACTAGAAAATTTTTTCAGATTAAAGGTCTCCTCACGTGATATTGGAGTTCACTGCAAGATTTCAAATCTAATCAAATTCCTCTTTTGCTTATCCTCTCCTATTGCTCCCTTACTCTTTTGCTTATCGTCTGCTATTTCTCCTGTTATAGTACTCCAGCCCTATAATAGTTTGATATGATTACATCCACTATCTCACTTGCAAGAAATAGCTTTTTTGTGAGGGCAAACGTTAGAGCTCAACATACATTGTCTACATATCCCTGGTAGCCTAAACTTTTGAGATTAAGGCGTCCCTGTCAAATACACTACATAAACAAACTTTTGAAAGAGAGTAGAAGTCACTTGCAGCTTGTGTCTTTAGAATATTTCCTTCAGCAAGTATATCTCAACAATGAACCAACACTCATCCTAAGTTGGATAATCGAAGATGAACCTCAAGCATTACTGATTCTGAAGACTGGAAGTAAATATTCCAAAACGTTGCAGGATGTAGACTCTATAGGCCATAATATACTAAATTAATGATGTGAAGCTCAACCACCTTTTAGACTTATGTCGTTTGCATGTAAAGAGTAAGACAGCTAAAAAGTAAAATTACCTGTAGAGAAGCTCTTGCAGAGGAAGCTTCTTGTTGGAGCCTCTTGACATCTTCAGAAAATTTCTCCTCAGTCTTCATCAGCCCCAGTTTACTTTCTCTGAACTCCAAAATGCCGAGCATTAAACCTTTTCTCAACCCTGCAGCTTCATGACATGCTTTTGCTTCATCTGCAGCAATCCTCCCAAGTTCCCTAATCTTTGCTCCTTTATTCTCTTCTTGAGAGAGTGCATTATCAATATCTTTCTTTTTGATTGATAAAGCTTCACTTTCCACATTAACCTGAGAGAGCTTTGATTTCATTCTATCATATTTAGTACCAATATCTAATTGCATGTCCTGAAATCCAGATACCACACCAGCAATACGCTTCTCTACTGCTTCAATGGTAGCATCATTCTCAGCAATTTCCTTCTCCTTCTCTTTCACTAAATTAAGTAGCTTCTCCAATTCCTCCAACAACACATCCTTCTTCTTAAGAAGTTTTTCTTTCTCTCTACTGTCATCGTCAATTGAAAGATCAATGGAAACATTCACTCCTTCACGAGCTTCAGTTATCAGATATGACTCAATTTCAAGCTCCATCTTCTTCGCCTCTAAATCGTCACTTGATGAAAGCCATTTGTCCATTTCCTCTGCATGCAGCAAGTTTGCCTTCTTCACTATCAGGTCAGCACTAGCAGTTGCATCCTGCAGGATAAGAGGTAAAAATGTCAGTGATCTGCTTCAAACTAAATTCAGCTAAATCTGGCAACTGTCGTCTCCACATGAACTTGATAGCTTACGAGAAAGTTTTTCATGGCACGCATGATCCAACCTCATGTTTTATGGAGATAGATGAAACAGTTTAGGAAAAAGTACAGAGAGACATAACACGGTTATCCTTAAAACAGTGACTATCCAAAAGTCTACTTGGATTAGCGAAACAGACCATGGGATATATTTCAACAGAAATTCTGCTGTAATGGATCAATATGACTAACTGAAACCTTTTAGTTTACCTTACAACAAATCAATTAAAACTACGGCTATCTCATAAAAAAAAAAAAAATAAGGGTCTGTTTGTTCGAAAGAAAACTGTTTCCGGGAAATTATTTTCCGACTTTCCGGTGTTTGATGGACGGAAAACTATGATCTACGGAAAGCGTTTTCCGTGGACCGAAAAACAACAAGTTTAGATTGGGGAAAACGACTTCCCATTTTGGCAAGAAGAAGGAAATCGAATGTCTCAAAGACGAGGTTCACGCCCTCCAAACCACCAACAAGTGAAAACTAACCGTTTTCCTTGAAAGTGATTTCCATGGAAAATATTTTTCTTTATCGTGAAGTTTTCAACGAAACAACACAATTGTGAGCAAGGGCACACCAGTGACACTACATGTGTGGTGCACCCACTAGCGTGCTCATACCATGCCTATAATCTACCATAACCCAGCAATGGTCAAGAGACATTCTTGTTGTCCATTCATTTTCCTTGAAGCACCTTGATAAAACCACTCTTTCCACGTTCATCATGAGAACCCGATTGTCAAATGAAAGATGAAAATTGACAAAGGACTTCCTTCACTCAACAGGGGCAGCTGAGCACAGATGTGAATTTAAAGAGCATCCAGTCAGGAAGGCTTGTACCGTTGCACTCGCAAGTTTATAAAGACAGACAGAAAATCAGAAACATGTATCAATCTGCTCCACCCAATCATTGCGTTGCCCCATGCTGCGAAGTTCTTACTATAGAGCTCACTCTATCATAATTCATTCTAGGATCAAGCATTCTGCCAGTGTAACAAAAAAAAACAAAAATGTTGTCACTGACCTTAGAGAAATCCTCCAACAGAGAAACACACTCATCCTCAGCAGCAATCTGTGCATTTAAAACCTCCTGCATCTTCGCATTAATGGCATCGCATTCGGCTTCACTAGCTCTGAGTGCATCCACCAAAGCTTGTCTCTCCTTTTCAGCAGCAGCAAGGCTTTCACTGACCTTCTCAGCCATCTCGAAATCTTCAGCCTCACATGCTTCCTCCAAGCTCTTCTCCAGTTCCTTGTGCTTGGTAGAAGCCAAAGTCACGTTCTCAGCAGCCTTTCTTCTCTTCCTCACGCAGTCCTTCTTCGCAGCAGATAAGGAAGCTGCCAATTCCCGAGCCCGGTTGAGTTTCTCGGCAACCTGAGCCTTAATTCGCTCGAATTTGGTCTCAACTGAATCATCCATCTTCGTACGCTCGCCACCATCGTCGCCGTGTTTTGTCGTCTCAGTAGCCTCGGATGCGAGAGCTGATTCTATCTCTACAACTCTCGTATCGTGCTGAATTACTTCACTGTCACTAGTCCCCGGAGTTCGTGAAGGATCCTCCGTGGCATCCTCTAAATCTTCTGAAACTTCTAGACTGCGATGGTTAGGCTGTGATGCGAGTGAAGCAACATTGGATGATTCTTGTTCTGGCGGAGCAGATGCAGACATTGAGAAGCTATTCCTACCGTTACTGCTACTGTCCATATTGGACTCCGATCTCGCGTCTGGTACAGAGACCGAACTCGCATCATCAGAAGGAGAGATCGGAACAGGAGACGCGCGATCGGCGGAAGCCGCGACCGGCGCGTCTCTTCCATATCCGATCCTCAAACCAGCAGCTCTCTTCTTCTTTCTCGACATCTGCCGAGTTAAAGGAGGAGGAATCTCTCGCGCCGCAGAACGACCCGGCGCCGTCCTCGTCTCCGTCTCGAGAGAAGGACTGGGGCTCAATCGAGGAGGGGAGTGGCCGTTCTCGGGCAGGTCCGGCAGAGGACCGACGAGGGTGAGGTCGGAGAAGAGATTCTCGTCGAGCGGCTCGGACGCGGCCGCCGCCGCATCCGCATCCACCGGCGGCTGCGGCGGCGGCGGCGGCGGCGGAGGAGGAGGAGGATGGATCGGATCGTGAGGCTGGGGCTGATTCGCACCGCCGCTTTCGGGCTGGTCGGAAAGCTGGGACGGCGTGAACAGCACCATGCCTTCGAAGAGCGAGTCCATGTCGTCCTCCATCGAACGGCCGGCAATTCGAGCCTCGATCCGCGTCGAACTCGTCGTCCACCGAGTCAGAGCTCGAGTTGGGCGTCGCCGGCGTCTTTGCGGTCGCGGAGCCGATGCTTTTTGCCAAAGCTCTGATCTGAAGCTTCTTCTTCTTCTTTTTTTTTTTTTTTGGTCGAATGAAGCTTCTTCTTCAACGTTGGCTAATCTGGGCCTGAAACGCCGGCGAGGGGCGGTGGTGTCTCGCCATTTGGGCCTGGTGGGCTAAAAAGCCCACGAGCCGGCCCATGGGACACTGCAAGTCGAGCCCGCATATCAACAGAAACCGCGCTCTGCTTCGGGCAATAGCAGTTCTATAGGAAATCAGTGCTTGTCGAAATTGATTTGCGGTCTACTTAGAAATTGATTTACGGAGGAGAAATCATTTGGTAAAACATGACTAATTCTTTCCGAAATTGATTTCTGGCAATCTGTTTAATTTGTTGATTTTTTTTGCACCTAAAAAATTTAAATTTTACTCAAAGTGGGTGGCGCATGTATTATAAGCCATTCTCAAAGTTTTGAAATTTTTGATTTTTTTTTTTTTTGGGCACCTAAAAATTTAAATTTCACTCAAAGGGTGGACACAGTATTCTAAGCCATTTTGTGAAGTTTTGAATTTTTATTTTTTTTTTTTTGGGCACCTCAAAAATTTAAATTTTACTCAAAGTGGGTGGATATTCTAAGTCGTTCGCGGAAGTTTTGAAATTTATTTATTTATTTTTATTTTTTAAGCACCTCAAAAATTTAAATTTCACTCAAAGTGGTGGCAATGCTATTTTAAGCCATTTTGTGAAGTTTTGAAAATTTTTATTTTTTTATTTTTTTTTTTTTTTGGTAGCCTCAAAAATTTAAATTTCACTCAAGTAGGTGGTCACAGGTATTTTAAGCCTGCATTCCATGCGCACCCAAGCTTCCTAACTAAAGATTGCGTGGAGAATCATCATGTCGTCCATCAGTGGATGTCCGACTAGGTCATAAGAAACACTTTAAAAGACTTCGTCTCGATTCTCATCTGAATCTCGAAACCACCGGGATGTAAAGCTCCTGGAAGGTATTCCCTCTCTCTCTGGGTAAGATAAAGATACAAATTGGGTGCGCAGAGCGAGCGGACATCGGCACGCTATAATAAAAAACACTTCTGTAAAGGTCGTCATCCCTATTTATCAAACAGAAAGGCCACAAAAGACCCCTGTGAGAATTTTGACTCCTCTCTTGTGGTAAGATTACCCTTATAACCAGAACATCAAGGATCCACCGGAGAATCATCCATAATTGGATGTCCGATGAAGTCACTTAGTGATGGTGATCACCATTTTCTTGCAAATAGCTCTTCTTGCGGAGACCAAAAGCCCGTTGAATATCGGGAATTGGGCGGTCCAGTGTTCGCAAGAAATAATGCAGAGATACTAGGAGGATGAATGGATTGGACCCGACGACATCACACGACTCAGCCCTTTTTCATGTATCGCTCGAGATTATCAGTCGATGAAAAATATTTTCACTTTCGACGTTAATTTACGTATAAGTATTTTCGTGAACGATGAGAATAAATTTTTATTCGTTTCTAGATAATATTCATTACAGAATGTAGATTACAAAGGACCGACAATTGCACCACATGGGAGGGCGCGTCGATTGGCTCGAATGTGCTCGTGCTTTTAAGTCACCGCCACAACCCCCAAAATTTGCAGACGACAATCGTACTAAAGACATGCTCTTCGTACGCGGTTTATAGCTGGCTTTTGACTTCAGTATGATGTCCAACATTAGTACTTCTTGATGCTTGAAATTAATAAACAAAAAGGAAAAGAAAACATCATTATCTTTCTTTATCTTTTGAGTATTTCTCTAAAACTTTTCTCAGTTCTTTCCCGCTTTCCTTCCCTCACGTTACGCAGTAGTCAGTAGCCATGCAATGATATACTTCATTGAAAAAGAACAAAAGAAAAAAAAGACAAAAGAAAATGTTCGGTGCGACTATAAATAGGTGAAGCAGCGCAGCGCAACGTGACGCTCTCCTCTCCCCGATTCAATCCGAAGCACAAAGCCAAGCGGTCATCGAAACTGTGTACCGTGATGGTGAGCACACTGAGCAGCATTGTGAAGAAAATGTGGTGCTGCGGAGCGGCGGCGACGACCCTCGACGCTCCCGGAGGACGCGTCCGCGTCCGCGTGGGCAGGCGCAGCGACGTCCCTTGCGAGCTCGTCGTGGAGGCGAGCCACCTGAACCACCCGCTGTTCGAGGACCTCCTCCGGTCGTCCGAGGAAGAGTTCGGGTTCTCCTACGACGGCGCGCTGCGGATCGCGTGCGAGCCCGACGCGTTCCGGCACCTCCTTCGCCTTCTCGACGCGAGCCGCCGCCGCTCTCCGGTCCATCACGCGGACCTCGCTTCCAAGTCGAGCGCGGACGACGGACGAAGCAAGTACTTCTTGCCGCCTTCAAGATGACGAGACCAATTCTCTTTATTGATTTCTTCGAGATTTTACAAAGGCTCTCGCTTTCTTTTCTTTTAATTTTCTTTTCTTTTTCTTTTGTTCTTCCTCTACACAAATTCGCTTTAGAAATTCTTTTGTTCCACGAAGCCTGCGTGAATTAAGATGGGTTTCAAATGGATATGGTTAGATCTGTAGATTATACAGTTTTTCTTTGTCCGAATGTTTCCATCGATTCGTTTTAATTCATTGGCAATATTTGGGTGATGTAATAATATTTCGAATTAAATTTAACAAGGCGCTTATTCTTACAAAGAGTCCGCATCAGCTTTCGAAGGATCTTTTTCTTGTATCTCTCCGCCATATCTTTTTATTATTTTTATTTTTTTTATTAATGGCACCACACTAGAGTGGTTTATCTTCTGACTCGACAAAATGATGCAGTCGCACCGAATGATCTAGATTGGCAAGTAATGTCAGTCCTACTCTGGTTCTAATGACGAAGAATCTATAATGAATTTTCAGTGTAAGTAGTGACATTCCATGAATTATCGATTCCTTTTCATTTTTTTGGACGATTGAATATAAAAGCACATCTTAACCATTGAAGTTGGATGGTCGCAATGTGATTTGTACATTTTATCTATTGCTATTCATTTTTTTTATTTATTTGTTTTCTTTGTTTTTCTTCTCACGAAGATTGAGAAAATGGGAGAAGGAAAGTGAATCGCCAATAACGAAAAATCTTTCGAATTAGTGTCGCGATGCCAATAACTATTGTTGCCGGGAGGCCTCACCATCATGCCTCCATCCATCGGTGGCATAAACCCCCGTCCTCACAAAACTCATCTAGCGTCTCTCACTCTCTCTCTTCGTGCCACGGTCGCGAATCGAGCACCGCAAGCACCCCCAAATCTATGATCGCGCAAGGCCGGCGGACTCTGTGGGCGCAGTGATGAGCTTAATGTCGTCTCTTCATTAGATTTGAGAGAGAGAGAGGACACGCTGGACCTCCACTGATTTCCTCAAATGGTGGTTGCCCACCTCGCGTGACCCTAGGTTTATGGTCATGCAAGGCCGGCCACCCCATCGCCGCCGGGATGGGGCTGGACTCCATTGATACGGTTGAGTTTCAAAGTTCGAGAAAGAGATAACGTTTGTGTTAGTGAGATTAGTCGCGCAAAAAGGCAAAAGGCAAAGCAAAGGTGACGACGGGGCCGAACACCGAAGATCTTGTTTTGTTTCAGTTTTCAATTTTCTTTTATTTGCTACATTTTTCTCAGATTTATATTTTGATTTTATCGAAATTTCAAATTAAATTTACATTTAAAATCCTGAAAAAAAAAAAGAGATGTTCGTGGAATTCTAATAGTTGATTTGTTAAATGGTTCAATTCCACAACTTTTAAGGAACTAGATTCCACAAGATGTCCTAATCGAAATTTTCATTTCTTTCGAAACATAGAGATTAGGAATTGGAATTCCACTCCTTGAGGTCTTCGACTTCCGCAATAAAGCAAACGAGGCCTGAATGAAATGGCTTCTGGACCGCATGGAGAGAAGGATAGGGGTACAATTTACCCAATAAATACATGTGAAATACAGAAATCTGATTTGAAAAATGGAATTATATTTCCATGATCATCAGTCCCTATAACATTCACAACAAATATCAAATGGGAAAAAATAACTTAACAAGGTGATAAATTAAATAAAACAAAGAATTTTCTAGGCGAAACAGACGGGGTGGGGGGCAATTCTACGGAGGACGCACGCCAGGGGTGAAGACAGCAGCAGCAAATGACCGCAAACTGCTGCAGCGAGACAATAAATTAGGTAAAAACACGTGAAGATACCAGACCTATACCTTGGACTCGCCAAGTTCAACGTCTTTCACGGGAGCATTCTCGACACCTTCCTTCAAAAGCCTGATTTCCTCTTCCGTGAGACTGTTCTTCACATTCAGCGCGGTCTTTGCGTGCGACTGCTTCTCTAGCTCCACGGCCCAACTGTACACTACCATGCCGAGAATGGCTATGATCATCCCCATTATGTTCTTCAGAGTCAGCGCGGAATCGAAGAGCAACCACCCTAGTATGAGGACACACACCGTCTTCATGTGGCCCAAAACCTGGAAGGAGGTGGCCGAGAACCGTCCTATGCAGAGGTACTGACTCATGTTGCAGAATACCGCCAGCGAGCAAGAGAGAAGTATAAAGAACTGCACATGACCACACCATAAATCAGATAAATGGGCACAGTTCTGAGTGCAAAATGCTTCGGAGGAACCAAATGGAGATTGCCTTTATCCTTACCAGGGCACCGTAAGACATCTTATAGTCTGTTATCGCAATGCCATTGAGGAAGTAATCAACAAATGGACCAAAAACAAGGAGAGAGACGGCTTGGATTGGAGCTGTCTTGCTCAGCAATTCAAAAGATCCAATCGAGTATTTCTTTTGCAAGGAGCCTATTGACTGTTACACGAAGACAAGAAGCCATAAGCATTCATGAGTTCACTGTATGCCACGGTAAAACAGAAGTAGTTTTGACTGAGCGAAACTTGTAATATATGGGGCTTTGTTGGAGTTTGTGCAGAAACAGAAGTTCATTCCATAATTTAGATAAAGAGAAAAAAAACAGAGCCGAGATCACCCACAAGAAAAGTGGAAAGAAACACAAAGAACACAAAACCCAACTATACGGTTGTAGAAGACTAGACATAAGTCACATGACCTTAAATACCGTTAAAACTATGGTTCATCACACCAAACAAAAAGGTTCACTTAAACCGGGTCTAAAATCATTTGAGTCAAATCTTCCAAGATGATATTTTGCTACCTATGAAACCTGAAATCCATTCTAGCCAGCATTACAGCATACGAAACAATCTAAAAAAGTGAAATGGCACCACAACAAACTCGCATAGAATTCACTTAAGATTCCTAAAATGCTCCCAAAAAACTGCCTTGGCCCTTGACATTATCGGCATTCCCTTCAACACCCAGTGAGCAACTGGAACTACTTGAGGCATGAAAATAGAATATGGAACATCCAGGTTTCGCACATTCATAAAAAAAACTTCATTTTCTGCTAATATTTTCAACCCAACAAGCTGGGCAAGAGCATGGGATAGTACAAAAGCTTTCAAGGCTGACAAAATCAACTGTCAATAAATGCAGTCCTAGAGAGGCCAGTAGTGGTGATCTGCAGTTCTAATGTGCAAAAATCTCCAGACCAAGTGGAGCAATCAAGAGGATTTACCATATAGACGTATCATCATCAGTTCTCAGTATAGACAGTTCTATGAAAAGGCAAATGGGAGATATGGAAGATTTACTCACAATCTGCTGCAACGATGTAGAGAGGACAGCCACACAAGCACATATAAAACCTTTGGCATTGACTTTTACATCCGTAACCGTGCAAACACCAACTCCTACTACCACAACCAGAACAGCCATTTTCACTTCCCTTGAGTAATGCTTACTGTGCAGGATCCACTCCATCACGCAAACAACAGGAATCATGCTCAGTTTCGAAATCTGCGACAGAGACAATTCACATTTCGATCTATGTAAGATCCCCTTGGAAGGAAGGATATATGTAAAATTACTGTCAATTAAATTCATACTTGGTAAAATCCGACGGAGTTAAGCATCAAGCTGAAGTTCATCCCCGTGATGGACATATTAGCAACAATAGAGAACCAGAGAAGCTCCCACATAGGAACGTGCTTAGATGCCGAATAACCAGCAGCATTCGACACCAGACCCACCAGCGCAGTCACGGCAAAGTGGAACCCGGTCAGCGTCGTAGCTGAAATCGAAATTCGATCAAATTCAGTGACAAAACTCGATTCGTCGCAAGAGAATTGCCAATATCTAAACTAGCCGATCGCAGAGACAAATTGTGTCGAACCAAAGCGAAAGCAGTAGCACGATTACATATCCATGCAAGCAAGCTGAAACACATACGCACGCAAAAGTTGAAGACGAACTTCTAGGACGGAGTAAATGATGATGCAAGCGAACGCATGACAAACTGTGTAAGCAAAATAGAACACCCGGAGGGCAACAGAGACGGAGGAGATCCACACACGTAATCTAAGAAACTATGGGAAAGAAAACAACAGATCGGAAACCGAAGCATTGATTTAAGTTGCGATTTCAAATCAGATCCACGAACTGAAGTGAGGAACAGTTTCTTTAAAGCTCCGATCAGATGAATGCGACGCGTGCACTTGAACCGGTGGTGTATAACGCGCGTCAGTTACACACCCGGATGACGACGACGACGACGACGACGAAGAACACTCACCGAAACTGAAGGCGTAGCCACCGGAGGACATGAGCTGCTTGTTGGCCATGATAATGCCGACGGAGCTCACCACGTTCATCGCCCACGCGCCCACATCGGACACCGCCGACGCTTTCTTCTCGCTCTCCATCTCCTCCAACTCCCTCTCTCTCTCTCTCTATCTATCTAGCAGCACGAATCTCCGACCGTCCAATCGCGAGCAGAGATCAAGCTCCGGATCTCGGCGCCGAAAACGACAACCGAAGCGACGGCGGAGACGGAACCGCAACGAAGCCGCCGGGGAAATTCGAGCTGGGCCACGGCGGGGAGGAGACCGCGCCGGCGAGCGCCCGGGCGATTGCTGCGGCGGCGGCGGCGGCGTAGGATCGAAGCCCGCCGCGAACGGAGGAGCTCGAAGATCTGGATCGGAGCAGAGGGGGAGAGGAGAGGAGAGGGAGCGAGAGGGAGATGATGAGGAACGAAGGGCGGGGGGTGTGTGCGTGTGCCTCCAGAGGCTTCTTTGGGGCTCGGGGGGATTGAATTGGCCTCCCTCTTCCTCTTTCTTCTTCTATCCCCCCTAAAATCCCACCACGCCGCTGCGTCGTGTTCTCTCTCTAGCCTCCTCGTCTCCTTCGGAGGCGAATAAAAAACATTCGATTTTATTTTATAATCTCTCCCCCCCCTCCTCCGCGGCAGTGAAAATCGACGAGCGTTGATTGAAAGCTCCCCACCTTCCCATCTCTGTCGTCGTTACTCTTTTTGGCTGAAATTCCCACCGTCACGGTAATAACGAGATTTTAGAGCGGAAGAAAATGAATGGATTCAAAATATATTATTCTCGAATTACCAATTTTTTCCTTCTCTCTTTTTTCGGCTTTGAATTTTACGAGAAAAGTCGAAACCCCGCACTGTCTTTGTTACCGCCGTTCCGACCCCGAAGCAAATCTTCGAGAAGAGATATCCCATGTGCAGAAGCTTTCCGACAGATGACGTGTGTCGTTGATCAGATCGAGGAGCGGTCAAGTTATCGTTCGATCCTAATACTAGAAAGTCGAAATTGATTATCGCGTTAATTTCATTTCTTACTCTCTTCTTTCTTTTTTTTCGTCCTCTTTTGGTCATCGATCATTTACATGAAGAAAAACAAAGGATCCAACAAAACACGCAATTGATTCCTTCTTATTTTTTTCGAATGTGGTCAAACGGGATTCAACATCAACCTTAATTTCCAATTTAAAAAAAAAAACACGGGGGCCGCCTCCGTTGGACGCCCAGGAATATTTCCTCCCTCGGACTTTTCCATGTGCCTTGCTGCTGCCCTTGCCTTACCGCCATTTATTTTATTTCATTTTATTTTTTCCTCTGTCGTTTTCAATTTCGTTTTCAACATCTCAATTAAAGTATTTCGTAATTTGGGAATTGACCGTTTTGGGCACGATGGTCCCCAGCAATTTCCACGAACTCCCTTAATTATGGGATGGCAACCAAAAAAAATAAATAAATGAATGGAAATGGAAATTGAAAAAGGAGAGGGTGGTGCGTCACTGTAGCAGTACCGTGCGGCCGCAACGGTGCAATCTGGCCTTTTCCTTTCGATTAATCATTTTTCCCCTTTTTGTATTTTTATTTCTTTTATTTTTGTATTGACGTTTTGGTTTTTGTTTTTTTATATATTCCAGCGGACGAGAAAAAAAAAGTGAAAAGGGTAGCCCGGTGACGGTGCCGTCCTCGTTGCGCGCCACGTGGCGGTGGATCATGATGGGATTTGGGCGGAGGAGGACCATTTGCGTGGGACCAAAGTGAAATACCAAAAGTGAAAAAGGGACCAGACAAATCTACCTTCCTTGCTTTAAACGGCACCCTTCCATGCCTCGACGCCTCGCTCTTTATCCACCCCCCCAAAATTTTATTATTGCAACACACGCCCGATCGAGCAAAATTAGAGATTTATTTGGCCGAGAAAAAGAAAACTAAAATTAGAGATGCGAGGATATCAACGGAAATCCACATGCACGGTTAATAGCGATACGCCAACATGAAGAGGGTAACGTACATTTTCGAAGATGAAAATTATGTAGCCTGAATCGATGAGTTCGCTTGTCGTTTGAGGAAGCGTGAATAATGTGTTATTCATTGATCAGGCATGACCTAATGAATATGAGTCGCGACTCCTACATGAGAGAGAGAGAGAGAGAGAGAGAGTTTGATTGCTTTTTAAGTCCTTTGTTTTCAATTATGCGATTATCCGGTAATATTAACAGAAATCCACGTACACAATCAATTGCAATACGCCAATGTGAAGAGGGTAACGTACATTTTCGACGATGAATATTACGTAGGTTGAATCGATGAGTTTGCCCATCATTTTGAGGGAGCGTGAACAACGAGTTGTTGATTTATCAGGCATGGCCCGATGGATACGAGTCGGGACTCTTATACGCGAGAGAGAGTTCGAATGGGTACATGAGCAAGAATTGCTTTTTCAAGTCCTTTGTTGTTGATTACGTGATTATCTGGTGATTTAGTTCGAACGCGTGGAAGAACTGTGGTCCAGATTCAAGAGAATTGGGGGGCGAAAATGAACTGAAAAATCCTTGCCAAGAAAGAGCAAGTGCTAAACTGCAAAATTATCGAATTTTAGGGGTCAATAGTGCAACTTTTCTTTCTATTGGTAAACAAAGATAATTTGTTGCCGCTCAGGACTTTCTTCAGGAGTGTCGCCGAGGGACTAACGCCTGGTGTGGTGCCGTCTCTGCGGGTGCATCAAAAAAAAAAAAGATAATTTGTTGCCGCTCAGGAAGAACTTGTGCATCTTTAATATGTTGATACAGCTAATGCGGTACAAGCTCGAGCAGTTTTTTTTTTTTTTAAAATTTACGGGCGTCTGAAAAATATAAAAAATAGAAATTCTCCATTCGCTTGAAATAGAAATTTTCATCAACGACGGCTTTCTTTTCTGATATTATTATTTTGAGAAGGGAGTTCGCCTTTCCAATTAGTTGCAATGCAATGTTCTATAGAACAGAACCGAAAATGAAAAGGAAAAGGAAAGACGTTTGCATCCGCTGCTGGATTCGATGCATCATGAGGTTTCCTCGATGCATCGCAAGATCAACCTAATTGATGATGCATGACTTTCCTTTCGGACACCGACTGCCGAAGGTTAAACGAAAACATCTGACGTGGATTTTTTCATGCGCACGCGCCATCGTTTTGGGCAAGATGGATATTTGCTGCATGTTTCCTTCGTTGTCAATGTTGCCGTAACAACGAAAGATCGTGAGATTCTTGAAAATGCAAGGGTACCTACACCGGTAGTAGCATAAAAGGGAAATTATGAAACAAGTCCTCGCACTACTGTAAGTGCTAGAGTAATTAAATATTAAACCACGCCTTCATCTAACAGTTTAAGCTTTTAGAACTGTTGGTTGTGGTCCCAATCAAATCTCACATGATATCAGAGCTGAAGGTCCTGAGTTTAAATCTTTCTAGGCCTTATTTATCTCCCCAATTAAATATGTCTACGCTTAGTACTAGGTAAGAATACCAGACTAAGCGTGAGGGGGAGTGTTAGAGTAATTAAATATTAAACCACGTCAGACTAAGCGTGAGAGGAAATCTTAAAATAATTAAATATTAAATTACGTTTTTATCTAACAGTTTAAGTTTTTAAAACAGTTAACTGTGATTCCAACAAAATTTCACGGTAGGAACTCGGTTTTGGTCCATTTACTGTATTTCCAATACGATTAGTCGCCCCTACTTATATGCGGCGGCAATTTAAGAACGGAATTCAACTTTCCATCTAAATGCGGACTGAATACGTTGACTCAACGTCGGCCAATCCACAAGCGACGCCTACGCGTACAAGTTTCCAAGTCAGTAACCCTTATGGTCCTCGTGCTTATGAGAATGTTTTATTTAAGTCCCTGTGCTTTATTTTAGTTCTAAAACTTAGTCCTTGAATTATTCTTTCGATAAAAACTCGATTATCTTTTGTTACTAGAAACTCGATTTCATTTGTCACGTCTTAATCAGACATTATATGAACATGTCAATTCGAAACCAATTATTAATTGGTGATTTTGATTGATAGCCCCATAAAAAATGCAAAAATTTAAGATCCACATTTTCGGTATTGCTTCTGTAGAAGTTAGGGAAAAAAAGATCATTTTAAAATAATATAACCCCAACTTTAAGTCGTTATTTTATAGCTAAAATATTTTAGAAAGTTTATAAGAAACCCTCAAATTGACAATGACATTTATCTTTAGGAACTCCGCATCATATTGTTTATAAAGACTTGCATACAATGACATTTATCTTAATAAGACTTTCAATCAAATTGGACAAAACTGTAAATAAAGGAATTACCAACTAATACTTGGTTTTCATTTGATATTCCTGTAAGATTGGTTCAAAATGCCATCAAAACAATAAAGTTTTGTTGAAAAATGATATGAGGACTATTTTTTAACTAATACAAAGTACGTGGACCGATAGTGTAATTTTCTTAAAAATTTATACAGAAGGCACCACACGTTGAGTTGCAAGTGCTAACTCGGCATATTCCATCCACGTTTTGACAGGAAAGTGAGTTTTGTCCATAAGCTATTGTCGGAGATAAATTGGTGAGTTGAATTATATCGAAATATGATATGGGGATCGAAACCGAATTCGGCCAACAGCGTGGGGACGATTTTTGTAATTTCCCAAAAAAGGGAAAATGACAAAGCCATGTGAATGTGAAGGAGCAAAGCAACATCAAATTCACACGAAGAAGAAGAAGAGTAACAAATGGGAAGTTTAGCCATCAAAGAGTAACAATGCCGTCAAGAGCTATATGGGTCCATGAAGCCTGCCCAACCCGAAATAGCACATGCGAGATGCAATACCAGACTGGCATCTGCTGTGTGCGCGCCATTGTTCAGTGACCACAATTTTTTAGCATGAGATTTGCACCATCCAAGCATATGTACTGTCCAGAAAAGAAAACATGGCCAGTGCAGACATTCATATGCAAGAGTTCCGTTGGTTTTTATATTCACCAGGAGCTTCGACAATTTGATGAAGAACACCGAGCTCGAGGGTCGCTCGGATCCCAATCTTTGTAACTTGATATTGGCTCGCCTTGTTGGGGGTAATATGCAATCCGTATAAAGTTTCATAGCTGCTCAAAACTGCCATAAAGCTCATTCATCCTAAGTCTGCGACTTTGTTTTAGGCATCTGCAAATAATCTTTCGCCATCGCTCAAATAAATTACAATATAATGATGACAAGAATGGAGCGAGTGTCCACCTCCAGCTCGAAAATTTACAACACGCACCAATTTGCCTACACAAGAATGTTTACAACAGCTATAGTGTGGTAGTGGGCACAGTGGGCGGCGGCCGGAGGACTTGCTGGAGCATTCTGGCCGCAAGACGCTGCGT